CTAGTAGATGACGCTCTATCATTAAAGATTTCTGCCTTCCATACACTCAAGTCCCCTCCACACTCTGAATCTACATCTCCACCTAACTTCTCCTGAAAGACTGATTTGATCAAGTTGCTTCTTGAAAGATAACAGGATTATCCATTTCTTAGTGATTGCTATCATTAAATTTCTAAGAGTAAAATCTATGTCCTGCCTATACCCTTGGTGTACAAGTCAGTAAATTAAACTCTGTATTACACAAATGAAATGGATCCCAGTAGTAGAAAACTTTGGTGCTATCCTCTGTTTTCTAACTACAGTGTAGATAAACTTTGCTTCTTCAATGGATACTTTAAACAAAGTTCTAAAAATGCTTTCTATAGCTCTGGCATTTGGTATTAGAGGGCACCGATTTAGATACCCTTAAAATTTATGACCAGGTAAGTCACTAAATTGCGAAAATAGTCATTTAATTTGTTCTTAGCCTTGAAAAACAATTCTATTTTTCAGTTAGTGGTTTCAGAGGCATCCACAAAAGTAACAGTACAATGGTTTAAAAATCAGTGTAAAGATACACATAATAGGATTCTTGTTGTATTGTCATAAATACATGCGGCTAGCATGATGTCTCAGTCACACAGATGGCTCCTGTCAGCATTTAGCACATTGAAACATGGGCCATATTCAATAAAAATGACTAGACATCAATAACTTAAAAATAATTACATGCCCACATTATAATTATTTGTTTAAACACCAAAGTATATGTATATTTCACTTAAAAAATGCTTCTAGTGGCATATGCTATATATAAACAATAGTGAATATAAATAAAGACCTCCACAAAGAAATAAAATCTTTAATTCCCTCTGAAATATATATGAGTAGTAATGTAACACCTCTCCAATTGGGATAAAATGAAATACCAAAGTATAAAATCAGGACATTAATCTCACGTAAAAATTAATAATGCTGCCCACTCCCAAATCAGGAAGACGTACAGAGTAAAAGAAAAAGGACTTAGGAGAGAGTCCTCTTAAGACAAATCTTTAGGTTGTGATGTTCCTTTCATTTAATATTTTATCTTATCGCCCAGGCAAGCAAAAAAAGGGAGGGAGCAGAGTTCTTTAATAGTACATAATAGCATGCTGCTAGGAAGTAGGCAAACTCCTTCTCCTTTGGAAATTATGAACAGTTGACATGAATTCTGTTATATGTCTGTGATAAAGTTCTCTAATTTTATCTTTTCTATTTTATAAATAGTTATGATAGGAACATACATGACTATGATATTTTGAACTATATGCATAATCCAGTAAATCTCAGACATGAGAACCTAATTGTAAGCACAAAGAATTGCTGATAATGCTGATCATATTCTAATTGTTGAATTTATATGTTACATACATATCTATTAAATACACCATAAAATTGATTAAATCTTTGATTCACTACTAGAAACTAATTCTAAGAGAACATTTTAAAATGCATATAAAATCATCTTTTCTTACCTCTTTGCCATATAATAAAGTGAGTTCTTAGAATATGAGAGAAAACTAGTAACAGATCTAATTGTGTATATTCTGAATTTCAACTGGTAGGCAACTTTCCCACTGATACTGATACAACAGCATTTATTTCTACACTCAATTTTAATAGTAATACAGGTGGGCCATTATGTGACAGGCCAGGTAGATCCTTTGGGTTCATCTTACAATCCCTTCTTTGAGATTCAAAGGGATAAATAATAAGAGAGTTGATGGTTTGAGTCTAGAAATGTTTTCTTTTTTGATATTTTGGCTTCTCTAGTTCATTTAAGATATTTAAACAAAGGCTCTGTAAAATGTATATACTGTGAAAATTTAGAATTTACTTAATGTACAAATCTTCAAACACTGATGTTAAATGCTTTGAAACAATACTGGAAATACATTAAAAATATTTACTTCAGTCCAAGATAATGCTATTTATAAGAACATGCTTGTACACAAATCAATGTCATACTATCTTTAAAAATAAACTTTTATAAGTTTATACATTTTAACATGAACCTTCTCACATAATCACTATCTTTTTTCACATAATCACCATCTTCCTACGATTCCTAGCTTACTTAAACTGTTTCTGCGTGAATGATTAGATATCTTCCACATTGTTGTTGTTCTTTTCCATGTTACCCATTTCACCACTTTATTGGTATTCTGTCCTTCAGATGAGAATATTTCACCAGAAGCAGACTTATCCACTCTCCTCTGAAAGTAGCATCTTCTCCTATAGCTCATTCTTATCTCTCTTCCCTCTTTCTTTCCCTCCCTAAATTTGAAATCCATCTCCTTTATTTTCCTTCATTTCTTCCAAAAATGTCCATTTCTTTTTCATGCTTCTTTCCATATCCTAAGTGGCTGCCAACAAGTATTATGGACGGTATCTCTCTCTTGTCCACCATCCTTCTCTGCTTTCTACTACAACCAGATTTCTTCCTCGGATGCCAGGTAATGTTCCGAGGACATGCTTACATATGTCTCACAAACCTCTGAAGTAATTCTACTTCAGATCCTCAACTACGAGTGTCAAGAAGGGCATTTAAATTTTCCAAGATATTCAGGGAATGGTAAAGAACAAGGACTCAGACTATAACTTTTAATCTTCCCAAAGTCTTATTAGCCAGATCAAAAAATGTTACCTATACTCAACCTGGGGATTTTGAAACATAACACATTTTGATTCCCCAAATTGCTACCTAACAAACTCACTGTGGACAAGAAGAATCCCACTGCACCTCCCCATCATCAACATTTTGTTTAAAGATGTTGGGTTCCTGCTAAAAAACGAACATGTAAAGTCAAGTATAACTTTTTAGAAGAGAAAAGAAAATCTTTATTATAGTAAATGGTTTCTAAAATAATTTTATTTCAAATGAATGCTAAGTCCAAAAAACATAAAAATCAGAGAATAAACTCAATATTTAATGTTAATAGCTAATAATCATCATTTAACTAAGTAAATAAATATATGTAACGACCTCTTTAACTACATCCAACTCAGTAAAACTACTTTTCCAGTAATTCCTGGGTAAAATTTTAAATTCTATTTTCATGTGGACTTTACACCAACTTCAACTATTTCCCTAAACATACAACTGTGTTGCAACCAAAATCATACACTTACTATTGCCCAAATGCATCTTCCTACTTCATCACCTTTACTTGTACTGTTCCTTTTGTAAAGGATATTTCTCCCATTTCAAACTGCCAAACCTCTCTCAATCCTGCAAGGCTCCTCAGTGTGCCTTTGGGGAAAGGAACCTTGAACTAGCGGTCGGCGGCCTGAAGTTAGAGTACTATCTCAGCCACTTGTTAATTATGGAAACTTTAATATGCCATTTGATCTCCCTGCTTTTTATTAACTTAGATAACTGTAAAACAAAAGTGCTAAGCCAGGTGATTCCTATAGTAGTAGATGACAAGGAAGCCTAAGGTCTGGGTTTGTTAGCAGTGCTAGGCTGGAAAACTGACCTTCATTTCACCCAAAATTATAGTAAAACTAACTGAGGAATGTGTTGGGGTTGTTTTGTACCATTTACTTTTGTCTGATTAACAGCCAGTTTTCAGAACAGAAAGATCGAGGAACCCAGAGATGGTATATAAAAACTCCCATGAGGATGGGAAAATGGAACTTCTCACATTTAAAGAAATCACCAGTCTACTTAGTAAGTGTCTGAAATCACAAACATCTGGAGAAACAGGGAAAGCCTAAACCCTCATCTAGAAGCAAGAGGCATAGTCTTATTTTGCAATTTCCTTCAAATAGATAAGTTTCCACATCCTTTAAAGAAATATATCATCTCTGTCTACGGGCATCTTTTACTTTCTAGAATTCAACCACAACCTTCACCTTTTTAACCAAGCTCCTTGATTCTTCCAACTAGACTTTCTCAATCCTTTGAACCTAACAGAACTCACTACACTTTAATTGTATCACATCACCAGTTCCTTTAATAAACACTTGCTAATGGAGGAAGGAATCCTTATTGGTCTCTGTATTTTCTTTCCCAATTCTTATTTCTACTTCAAGAACCTAATAACTGAGATGGGAGAAGCTCACAAACTTTTGTTGAATAAATTAATTATTAGCATTATACCTTATGTAGAGCACACAAAAAATAATTACTTATTAGATGAAAATGAAAAGAAGTATTTTACAAACTTTAAAGCCCGTAGCTAAGTTTTAAATATTGGATTGTTGATATTAACCATTGTAGGTCCCTGTTCATTTCTGTTACTAGGATTCCACTGCTAAAATAAGGCAAAAGAAGAGTCAAAGGTGGCTTATTAGGCATTCTCTTAACAAAAAATGTCTATTAGTTGGCACCCAACAACAGGATTATGATGACTGGATGGCCTTGTGATGATTCTCTGGCTCAGGCACATCCTGAACTTAGTTTCAGACCTCAGTGTATGTTAGCCTAAATATGTTTTGAAAAACAAGAAAGCATGGTTAGAAGAAACCATTCCCTAACCATGCCTAAAACATAACCTTTACTATCTATATCTTAATGCATTTATACTTCTTAACAGCCTCAACATTTGAGTAATTATAATAGAATATATTTGAAAAATTTCAACAACAACAAAAGAATAAGCTACATCACATATTTCCAAAGAGTCATGCTGTTAAAGAGGGAAGACTGCTTTTTTGGATTTCTATTTCTTTTAGGGCATAGGGAGATACTACTCTCATAAATACATGCAATGAGAGGAGACTAAACACTCAAATAAAATGGGCTATATAGTGTGCAGAATGGAAAAGCTACTAAATGCACATTCATTTATATAAGACACACAAGAGAAGCTTTAGAAAGTACATGAACACCTAAGAGACAAGAAAAATCAACTTACCTAAAAAAAAAAAATTACAGCCATGGCAGATTCAAAATTATTAGATTAGAGTAAAAAGAGTGGAACAAACATCAAAAGAGTAAATGACATGAGAAGAGGTTAAGGGCACATGTTACTTACAGGAATTCTTCTCCAGGGTGTTTGAGTATATTTATCAGCATATGTGCATTTTTCCTCTTTAGATTTTTGGTGACAGTTACACCGAGTTGCCTGAATAAAACCACAAATTTTTACACTGGTATAATTCTATAAACACACATATACATACAAAAATAATTAGAGGCTTTCTTATGGGGTAAAAGACCACCATCACAAAAAAAGGGCAAACATCCAGGTCTATTCAGTAGTCTCCCATCTCATTTAGAGACTGGATTCTAGAGTCAGTCAGTAAAGCTAAAATTTTGAATAGTAAAAATTAACCTTGGGAATTTCTTACATTGTCCATAAATACACTATGATCTTATGTACATAAATATATACAATACTATTGTATATAAATGTAGAATATATATACAACATACAGATTATAAAGCATACAATTGCAAAATATAATGTATTTATCTAAACTACAATGGTACTACAGTCACTACACCAGTTTCTTAAATTCATTTTCGATGGCACTCTATGGATATTAAATACCACAGTCTACAGATAAGGTTGTCTATTCATATGTGTAGTGCTTTTAAGCCTCCTTAATGATGTGTTGACCTTATTGAACTAAAGAATTTGAAGGACCCTTGCCTTTTGACAAGACATATCTGACCATTTCAGTTCACAAATGAATTCTCTATATATGATTCCACTTAAAGCATACTCATTTAGTCATTTATACAACACAAAACAATGTACCTATCGTGGAAACTCTGGTCTCTCAAATAAATAATGATCAAATTTAAAAAAAGAATGAAAAGATTGATAATGAGAATTTCTCCTTAGTGTGAAGTTGGAATATACCATATTATTTATTAAACAACCTCACCAGAGGTAAACATACTTTCTTGTAGGAAAACCCACATAACAAATTCTTAACTACTGCATCAAATTAAAATTAGGTGTTTTATTTTTAAAAATTTACCAAAATTCAGCATTTTTCTTAATTTTAATCAGATCATTCTATTTTCCATATATAAAATAAGATCTAATTAAAAACAAAAATCTCTGTAGTATAGACATTTTTCCATTCCTTATAGTACAGGTGAAATATTCCCCATTCCTAAGAAATGGGATAGTGACTGAAAAAAATTCACTATATAAGTAGGCAAATTAAGAGTCTCATGGGGGCACCCGAGTGGCTCAGTTGGTTTAGCGTCCGACTCTTGGTTTCGGCTCAGGTCATTATCTCAGAATCCTGAGATAGAGCCCCGCGTCTGGGGTGGTGCAGAGTCTGCTTGAGATTCTCTCTCTCCCTCTCCCTCCACCCCTCCCCCTGCTCACACACTCTCTCTCAAAAATAAAATTAAAAAAAAATCTTTAAAAAAAAGTCATAGAATTCACTATAATAGGATGTAACTTTTAATATATATGGAAGGTATATAAAAAAGATAGAATATTTATCTTAATGCAAGCACATTATGTATTCTATCCTGACTACTGAAATTCCAGAAGTAATTTCCTTTCCTTTTTGTAATCTATCTGCTAACATATGAAGAACACTATTTGGCAAATGTTTGAATTTTTCATAATTTGAAAAACCTAGTTTTTAGTGACACTTCAATAGATGTAAAACGACTACCCAAATCATTCCCTGTCCACATGCTTTTCTTTTTGCTAATAGCTTGTTTGGATGATCACATTCTATGTAGTCCCTATTCAGGGAAGCGTATCCTACCTTTTTTTTTTTTTTTTTTTTTTTTTTTGCGTATCCTACCTTTTGACCCAATGATACATTTTGATTAGTCTGAACCAATCAGATTAATCCCATGCTTAGGAAGGGACAAAGAATCTAAACCTAGACAATAAAACATGTGAAAAGTCTGGGTAATTTCTGAGAAAGTGCTCTTGATTTTAAAAATAGGCATGCTAGAGGGGTGCCTGGGTGGTTCAGTCAGTTAAGCATCCAACTCCTGGTTTTGGCTCAGGTCATGATCTTAGAGTCATGGAATTGAGCCCTGCATCAGCTCTGTGCTCGGCATGGAGTCTGCTTGAGATTCTCTTCCTCTCCCTAACTTTCTCTTTCTCTCTCTCTGAAATAAATAAGTATCTTTAAAAAAAATAGGCATGCTAGAGAAAACAGGTCCTTTTCCTACATTTGGGGACTAATACAGAAGTATGTGACACATAGAACCAAAGAAGACATCTTGTAACCATCACAGGACATACAAAAAGATTCCAGAAAAGCCAACCTAGAACTTCATGATTACCCAAATGACCATTTAAGTAACCATGAGATCTATACAATTTTGCTATTTGAGTTTACAAATGTTCTAATTTTTAAGTCACTTTTAGTTAGGGACTTTTACTTGGAACTTACAACATCTTAAGATATGCATTGATTTACTAAGCTGGGTGATCTGGGGTAAGTCATCAAATAAGAGTTAATATTTATTATGCACCCATGGTCCAGGTATAGCATTAGGTAGTTTGCACACATAGTTTATAAGACTATCATAATCCTATATGGTATTATTTTTATTACCCCCACATACAGAAGAGGTTTAGGAGAAATTAAGTAACTTCCCTAGGACAACATGGTTATTAAGTTTCAGGGCAGGATTTGAACCCAGATATATGCAGCTTTTCATAGCTGGTCATAGTTTTTCAAATATATGACAGTGCTAACTGCTTAAGCAGAGTTCTACTTTCTATGGCTCTATAAAGAAAATTCTACACTATTAATTTCACTGATTATTCTGAGGGTTCAATGAGTAAATGTATCTAAATTAACTATTACTTAACTAGTATACTGAGGGGAAAATAAAAGGGCATTCTCAGCATCTTAAATAAGGTTTAAATGGCTGAGCTTCTACATGATCCAGTTAAATACTTGGAGCACTGCAATCTGCTTTTATATATGCATTTCACATAAAATATGAATTCAACACTTTATATTGTCACTTTTCTGAAAGTCTGCATGCAAACCCAGGTTAGGGGTGAGTGCATATTTAAAAAAAAAAGATAAAATGCATAGAAAGCTAGAACGAGAAAGGGACTTTGAAATCACCTAGAAAATCCTTCACATTTTTTCCTTAAATGCCAGTGTAGTTAACATACAGTGACAGATTAGTTTGAGATGTATAACATAGTGATCCACCAATTCCATACATTACTGTGTTCATCAAGACAAGCACACTCCTAATCCCCTTCACGTATTTCACCCCCCCACCCACTTCCCCTTTAGTAACAATCTGTTAGTTCTCTATAGTTAAGAGTTTGTTTCTCACCCCCCCCACCATTATTTGGTTGCTTTGTTTCTTAAATTCCACACATGAATGAAATCCTATGGCATTTGTCTTATTCTAACTGGCTTATTTCATTTAGTATTATACTCTGCCTCTATCCATGTTGTTGCAAATGGCAAGATTTCATTCTCTTTTTATGGCTGAATAATATTCCAATACATATACATACATATAAGCATGTGTGTAATGAAATATATATATATGTGTATATACATATACATATATATTACACATATATGTATTACATACCATCCACACACACTCTCTCATATCTATATCTATATATATCTATATATATATACCACATCTTCTTTATCCATTCATCTATTGATGGACACTTGGGTTGCTTCTATAGTTTGGCTATTGTAAATAATGCTAAAATAAACACAGGGGTGCATATATCCCTTCAAATAGTGTTTTTGTATTCTTTGGGTAAATACTCAGTAGTGCGATTACTGGATCGTAGAGTAATTCTATTTGTAACTTTTTTAGGAACTTCCATATTGTCTTTCACAGTGGCTGCACGTTTGCATTCCCAAAAACAGTGTACAAGGGTTCCTTTTTCTCTACATCCTCACCAACACTTGTTGTTTCTTGAGTTACTTTAACCATTTTGACAGGTGGGAGGTGATATCTCACTGTGGTTTTGATTATCCCTGATGATAAATGATATCATTTCATGTGTCTGCTGGCCATCTGTAGGTCTTCTTTGGAGGAATGCCTGTTCATGTCTTCTGCACATTTTTAAACTGGATTGTCTTTTTGGTATTGAATTGTTTAAGTTCTTTATATATTTTGGATACTGACCCTTTCTTAGAATAGGTCATGAGCAAATATCTTCTCCCATTCAGTAGGTTGTCATTTAGTTTTGTTGGTTGTTTCCTTTGCTGTGCAGAAGCTTTTTATTTTGATTAAGTCCCAATAGTTTATTGTTGCTTTTGTTTCCCTTGCCTCAGAAGAATGTTGCTATGACCAATGTCAATGAAATTACTGCCTTTGCTTTCTTCTAGGATTTTTTTTTGCAATCTCCTAGGATTTTTATGGTTTTAGATCTCATATTTAGGTCTTTAATCCATTTTTAAAAGATTTCGTTTATTTATTTGAGAGACAGAGAGAGGAAAAAAATGAGTGGGGGGAGGGCAGAGGGAGAGGGAGAAGCAGAGCCCCCACTGAGCAGGGAGCCTGAAGTGGGGCTCAACCCAGGATGCTGAGATCATGACCTGAGCTGAAGGCAGACACTTAACTGACTGAGCCACCCACGCACCCTGGTCTTTATTCCATTTTGAGTTTATTTTTGTGTATAGTGTAAGAAAATTGTCCAGTTTCCTTCTTTTGCATGTATTTGTTCAGTTCTCCCAACACGATTTGATGAAGAGACGATCTTTCCCACTGCATATTCCTGCTTCCTTTGTAGATTAACTGACCATATAATTGTGGTTTTATTTCTGGGCTTTCTATTCTGTTCCACTGACCTATGTGTCTACTTTTATTCCAGAGGCAACCTGTTTTGATTACTACAGCTTTGTAATATAACCTGACATCTAAAATACCTCCAGTTTTGTTTTTCAAGATTGTTTTGGCTATTTGGGGTCTTTTGTGATTCCATACAAATTTTAGGATTCCTTCTTCTAGTTCTGTGAAAAATGCTGTTGGTATTTTGATAGCAACAGTATTAAATCTGTAGATTGCTTTGGGTAGTACAATTTAACAATATTTGTTCTTCCAATCCATGAGTATGGAATGTTTTTCAATTTCTTTCTGTCATATTCAATTTCTTTCATCAATATTTTATACTTTTCAGAGTACAGGTCT